AAAAAAAAAAAAAAAAATTAGCCGGGCATGGTAGCACACGTCTGTAGTTCCAGCTACTACTTGAAAGGCTGAGACGGAAGGATCGCTGGAGCCCAGCAGGTCGAGGCTGCAGTGGCCGAGAGCGGCCACTGCACTGCAGTCTGGGTGACAGAGTGAGACTCCAACTCAAAAAAAATAAAAAATAAGAAGGGCACAGATACCAGGGAGGCAGCATGATATCATGGCTAAATGCAAGGCTTACAGAGTTGGATTGTCTTGGTTTAAATTTTGCTTCACTAGCAGAGCAAACTATCTCTGGAATCTTGAGCAAATTACTCAGTCCCTCCAAGTTTCAGTTTCCCATTTTAAACAGGGATAATAACAGTACCTACTTGATAGGGCTGGTTTAGGGATTTAATGAAATAAGGCATAGAAGACCTTGAGCATTTTGCAGGGTACATTGTAAGAACCCAGTTACTGACCAGGTGTGGAGGCTCACACCTGTAATCCCAGCACTTTGAGAGGTGGAGGTGGGAGGATTGCTTGAGCCTAGGGAGTTGAGACTGCAGTGAGCCACGACCACGCCACTGCACAAAACAAACAAACAAATAAACAAAAACCCCAGCTATCATTAATACTATGGAGTGGATTATTACAAATGTTAAAGAAGAGGCTTCAGGCGGCCCACAGCTAGGAGGAAGCCCTAATGTCCACTAGCTGCCAGGCCCTGTGAGAAACAAGTGGTTTATTAAGGCTGGAGAAGTCAAGGAGGCAGAGTTGGGTGAAAGCCGCATAGGAATTTGTGGCCAGGCGTGGTGGCTCACACCTGTAAACCTAGCACTTGGGAGGTCAAGGAGGGAGGATAGCTGGAGACCTGGAGTTTGGGACCAGCCTAGGTAACATAGTAAGATCCCATCTCTACAAAAACTTAAAATAATTAGCTGGGCATGGTGGTGTGTGCCTGCAGTCTTAGCTACTCAGGAGACTGAGGATCACTTGAACTCCGGGGTTTGAGGCTGCAGTGAGCCATGATTGTGCCACAGCACTCTAACTTGGATAAGCTCCACTCTCAGGTCAATGTGGTATAGATGGACACATTCACAATTTACATGCATTGAGCAGTGGGTGCACAGTGACTCTGAAGTAGGTACTACCACTAGACTCATTTTTAGAAAGAAGCTAGGAGGCCCAGAGAAGTTAGGTAACATGCTCAGAATCACACAGGTGGTAGGGGATTCATGCATGCCCCCACAACCACTGTGTCCTCACTGCCACATGGCACCAGCTCCTGGCTGTGAAACCCAGGGAAAACTGGAACAGAAGCCCAAGGAAAGGTGAGGTCAATGTTGACTGGAGTCCTTGGGGCAAACTTCCTGGAGGTGGGCATGCATGCTGTGCCTTGAAGGGTTAAATAACTGGGGTGCAAGAGGAGGAAAGGATTTTCTAAAAGGGGGATGGCAAAAAGTAAAGGTCTAAAGCGTAGGCTGCTAGGAGTAAATAGTGGGAACTGCACTATCTCTGGGGTCAAACCTTCTCTGGCCCTCCATTTTCCCATCTGTAAAATGGAAATGATAAAATCACTCACCTCGAGGTGAGAGGATTACCTGAGCTCGCGGGTTCAAGACCGGCCTGGGCAACTTGGCAAGACCTCATCTCTACAATAAATAAAAAAAT